GTTTTTTCTCTATTAGAATCAGGGTTGTAGTTCATTTACGCAGAGTCCGTCTCCCACGGCGTATTCATGTGCCTACGTATCATGTTGGCCCCGCAAATTTCTCTTGGAGCTTCATTTTCTTATTTTCCAGGCTACTCTTGTGTACTGTGACAATGTTAGTGTTATCTACCTATCCGACAATCCTATCCAACATCATCGTACAAAAACACATTGAGATGGACATTCCCTTTATTCGGGAGAAGGTCGCTCGTGGTCAAGTCTGTGTTCTTCATGTTCCTTTCCGACGCCAGATTGTTGATAACTTCACCAAAGGCCTCCCTAGAGTTCTCTTTGATGATTTTCAGATCAATCTAAGCATCCAACCTCCTACTTCGACTACGGAGTGTGATAGAGTTTGTATGTATTTGTTAAAAAATATTTGTATATAAATCTCACATTGACTATAACATATAATTAGATGTAAGTCTTCTATATATAATACAGTCTCCGTAGTACTATTATTATACGGTTTATTCAAATATCTCACTCTCTTGTACCATCCACAACAAACCAACTACCAGGCCTAAGACACATTTGAAATTAAAACAAAAAAAATTCTTTGTCGACTGAATATCAAACTATTATAGAAGTTAAAACAAAAACAAACTATGTTTTTCTCGCAAAAAAAATTAGACTAGTTGATCATTATCACACAAGTTACAACGAGAAGTTGAGAATCGAAAAAAAAAAACACTATGGTAATTACCTTAACCATTCTCCACATAGTTTTTATTGTTTTTTAATCCATTACATGATAATTTAAGAATGAGGTTAACCATACCAATAGATCATTTCCATGTAACAAAATGACAAAAACAGGCTTAACAATTAAGTTAACCAATGAAGGTAACTTCCACGCTCCATTTCACATTGCTATAATCGCTTCTCAAAGAAACAACCAACAAAAAAAAACTCAAATATAAATAAACATAAATTTATAACTTAGCTAATTACTTGGTATCATAGTAATTCAATTGTGAACAAAAATGTTGGAGAGTTTGACAGAATGTACAAAGAAAGTAATGATGGTTGCACAAAAAGAAGCAAGATTTGTAGGACATAAATACATTAGCACAGAACATATTCTACTAGGGATCCTTGGTGATGGGACTTGTTTGGCTGCGAAAATTCTTAAGTCGTATGGAATCGATTTTAATGTTAGTAGAGAACAAGTGATGAAGTTGATTGGAAGAGGTGGTGGTTGTAGTGGCTTGAGTTGCAAGGAACTAAGATTTACTTATGATGCTAAGAATGTTCTTGATTTCTCACTCAAACATGCTATGTCTCTAGGTAATTTCATTCTTACAAAGTTTATTTTTAGTATTAAATTATTAATCATTTTAATTAACATAGTTTGTTTTTTTTGGTTGTTATGGTTTAGGTCATGATTATGTTGATACAATGTTTCTACTATTAGGGTTGCTTCAAGGAAGTTATGGTGTGGTAACTCAGTTGATTGAAAATCAAGGTGCTGATTTAAACAAAATTAGAGAACATGTAAGTTATAAGTCAGAAATTCATAATGCATTTACTTGGAATTTATTTTTGGTTTGATTTTGAGAGAAGCTAGAAGTGAAATTTCGTTGAAATGTGAATAGGTGTTTAGAGAAATTGAAGAAAATGTTCGCAAAGGCGATGTGGCTACAGAAAGTTCTAAGAATAAAATGAAAGACCATGTTGAAGAACGTGTTCACTATGATGTTGTTAGTGCAGAAAGTTCTAAGAATAATCAGATTAAATCTCAAGCTGTGAATCAAAACTATAACATAGGTGCAAGAAAAGATGAGAATGCAAATAAGCAAAAGTCTGCCCTTGAGATTTTCGGAACCAATCTCACAAAATTGGCACAAGAGGTAATGTAATGGCATGAGACAGACACGGTTTGAATTGACTTATTTGATCTTATCTTCTAACTTTATTATTTGTCAAAAAGTTTGAGTGAGTTTATGAAAATAGCTTAAGACATGTTGTTCGTATGTTTTTTTCAACTTATTTTCGTAAGTTCTTTTCTACAGGGTAAACTTCATCCTTTTGTCGGGAGGGAAGAACAAGTGGAACGCGTGATTCAGATAATTTGTAGACGGATGAAAAACAATCCTTGCCTTGTAGGAGAACATGGAGTAGGAAAAACATCAATCATTCGAGGCCTTGCTCAAAGAATTTTGAGTGGATCTGTTCCTGAAAAACTCAAGGGAAAAAAGGTAAGTCATACTAGTTCTAAGACCATGTTTGGATAAACAACTTATATAAGCGCTTATAAGTACTTATTCATTTCAACTTATTTTGTTTCTCAGGTGATTACATTGGATGTTGCTGATTTTCTATATGTAATATCAAACCAAGGATCTTCTGAAGAAAGAATCAAGTGTTTGATTAAGGAAATCGAACAAAGTGGCGATGTGATACTTTTCGTCAAAGAAGTTCATCACTTATTTGAAGCAGCCACATCAGGCGCAAAAGTTTTCGCATACATTTTGAAACACGCCCTCGAGAGAGGTGTAATTCAAGTAAGAATTTTAAATTTTTATCTTTCAATTCTTTCGCGATTAAATCTTATATAGTAAATAATGTGAATCTTTGTGTATAGTGCATATTTGCTACAACAGTGAATGAACATAGAATGCATATGGAGAATGATGTAACCTTAAAGAGAATATTTCAACCGGTTAAAGTCGTTGAACCGTCTGTTGAAGAATCCGTAGAAATTCTTAAAGGACTTCGTGGAACTTATGAGACGCATTATAAACTTCAATACACCGATGAAGCTCTTGTTGCGGCCGCGAGTTTGTCTCAACAATATGTTCGGTAAAATTTTGTTACTTCCAATTGTACAACATATATTATTACAAAAATGAATGTTTAGTTTTTCATTGAGACATGGTTTTTGCGCGCAGCGATCGTTTCTTGCCTGACAAGGCAATTGACTTGATCGACGAAGCTGGATCTCATGTTCAACTTTGTCATGCAAAGGTAAAATAGTTATAATTTTCAAATTTTTAGATCAATGAAATGAATCTTTTTGTATAGAACTTGATCGATAATGGATAGTTGTTGAATTCTTTTGAAACAGAACAAAAAGAGTGGCAATGTTTCTGTGCCTAGTGTGAAAAAGAGTGATATTCAACATGTTGTATCGTCGTGGATTGGAGTACCTGTCAGTGATGTATCGAAGGAAGAAGGCGAAAACCTCCTTAACTTAGAAGCAATGCTTCACAAACACGTAATCGGTCAAAACGAAGCGATCAACACAATCTGCAGAGCGATTCGTCGCGCTAGAGTTGGTCTAAGAAACTGCAGAAGGCCTATTGCAAGCTTCATGTTCACCGGTCCTTCTGGCGTAGGAAAAACGGAATTAGCGAACGCGCTCGCTTCAAACTATTTCGGCTCAAAAGATTCTTTGATAAGATTAGACATGAGTGAGTACATGGATAGGCACAATGCAGCTAGGTTAATTGGAGCGCCGCCTGGATACATCGGTTTCGACGAAGGCGGTCAATTAACCGAAGCTATTAGGAGAAACTCTCATGCAGTTGTTTTATTTGATGAGATTGAAAAAGCACATTCAGATGTTTTTAACTTAATGCTTCAAGTTCTTGATGATGGAAGACTCACGGACGGAAAAGGTCAAACGGTTGACTTTAAAAGTACATTGATCATTATGACAAGCAATCTTGGTAACAACATCATTGAAGGGATTGATGATAAAGATTTTTCATTTGATCATAAGAAAATCTTAGTTAAGGAAGAATTGAAGAAGCATTTTAGACCCGAGTTCTTGAATCGGCTCGATGAGATAATTGTTTTTAAGGAACTTACAAAGGTGGAAGTTGAACAGATTGCAAACATAATGTTGAGAGAAGTGTGTGAATACTTGTTGGTTAAAAACATCAATCTTTCATTGACTTGTAGGTTTAGAGATTATGTGATTCAACAAGGATATAATCCTAGCTATGGTGCAAGGCCATTAAGAAGGACTATTGCAAGATTTTTGGAAGATACATTGGCTGAAAAGATGTTAAGGAAAGAAATAAAAGAAGGTGATTCAATTGTTGTTGATATGAATGTTGATGAGGGGAATGTTGTTGTGTTGAATCAGAAAAACTTCAAAAGAGATGATCTTTTTATAAGTTTTGTTGATTCAGATTCTGCTAATTTGGTAGATGGAAAAAGAAAAGATATGGTTGGAATTTCATGTAATTTGATGGGGAAAATGTTGGACATTTTAGGACATAGGAAAAGTCCATAAATATATCTAAGATGTTAATTTTTTTTATCTAAAGTTAATCTCTGGGTTTAGTCCCTTAACTTTAAAAAAATCTTGTCGATTTTTTAACTCTTCAAAATAAAATATGTTAATCTTTTCATCTAGTTAACGACGAATTTAACGATAAATTTTTGATTTTTTTTTCTGTCACTAATTAAACGAAAAGAATTAATATAATACGTTTTAAATAGTTAAGAGATCATATAATTTTTTTTTATGTTAAAACATTCATGAAAAAAATATTAAATTATGTTTATTTTTGCAATCAAGAACTAACATTTTTGTATACTAGGGAAATGTTTTTTTGTTGGGTGAAAGTTATAACCATAAATTTAACAACCATAATGAAATGAATGTCTATAGAATAATTACATAAAAATGCTAACAAAAATGATTGAGTGGCACCCTAATAATGGAACTTGTTTTTCTTTCATCCACATGTGAGGTGAAAACTTGTGGTCACAAAGAAATTGTTGAATTGGCAATTACCACGCATTTGAAATAGTAAAACAAAGTTTGTTACTCCTCCAACATTTTAGCTTAACTAAACGCTTAGTACTTTTTCCCATTTTTTTCTTTGTGGGCAGGTGAGAACATCTAAACCTTCCCTCCATCTCTCTCTCTCTCTCCCTTTCTACCCAAAAATCTTCATTTAATAATTCCTTTCTTAAAGAACAAACTTCTTCCCACTTTTTGCATGCCTTCTCACAAACCTAGCAGACCTAGGTAATGTTTTATATATAACATGCAACTCTTCTAGGAATCAATTTGAGGATGGTTTTTTGTAATTATATTTTATGTTTCACTTATAGATACATATAAGTGATTTCTTGTTTCATAAGCAAATGTTACGACACAATCATGATTTTAAATTAAGATCGACAATCGCAATTACGGTTGTACTATTTCTGATGCAGGAGTCTCGCAAACTGCATCAGACCGTATTTGTAGTCTGATTCAAAATCACGTATCATTTTCCATTATGAACCACGTCAGACAATTTCGCCCAGATTTCTTGAAGTATTTCAAAATTTATAACCCAAAAAATCAATTTATTTTAAAAATTTTAATATTAAGTATTCTTTAATGGTGCATTTCAAACTTTTCTCAATCAAAATCCATACCACAATGGCCGCATGCGCATCAACCACAAACGCAACGGATGCGACCGTAACCACGATTTAAAATCATGAACACAATAATAACTTATTCATTTTTCATATAAATCTGAGTTCCACTCCTATCTAAAACAATCTTTCACCATATATTACTTATCTTTCTCATGAATTCCTATTAATAAAGGTTCCTTATCATATTTGGTGTTCAAACATGAATCATGTTTTTTTTAGTGCAAATTCTTATTAATGAGTTTTGATTTTCTATAGAAATTTCTTTTTTTTTTTCTCTTATTATTTTGGCAATTAGACTTTCTTGCTTATGATCTATCCTTGTCACGTGTAAAGGAAAAATCACCCAAAACATCAAAGCACAACTTGAAATATGCAGGTCTAATTTTGTTGTTGGTGTGCTAGTAGGGGAAGCATTTTTGAGTGGAAAAAGATGGACCAAAATTTGGAGCAAAAACCACCAAAGATCAGTATAGACATCATTCCAAATTTAGATATAGCAAATTCTTTCAAGAAACAATCTCAAATGCCAATGTCACCATTATCTCAACAACGGGAAGTAAAGAAATCCTCAAGTGGAAGGTGGAATTGTCTATGCTCTCCGACCACACATGTTGGCTCATTCAGGTGCCGACACCATAGGTCTACCCCCGGTGGAATGTCGCGCGGTAGATCCGTTGGCTCCAACCTCCTTGAATTGGGAAGTAAAGCCGGGCCCATCAGCGACTCGCTCCACGCTCAGTAGCTTGCTTTGCAAGTAATGTTGTTGCACAAATACATATACTCATAATTATATATGAAAAAGTTTCAAGGATGTGAAAATTTTACTTTTCTCTTGAACAAATTCATTAAGGTGTACTTAAATTTGCTTGTGTGAGGTGATCATTAAAAAAAACTCATAACCGAGTTCTTGAGAATTGAGAGACCTTCTATATGTGAATCTTTCTTTGTGTATCTATATTTTATTTATGTATTTATGTTATTTATGTTATAGCAACAAGTGTAAAGTTGAAAACACACATTTATTCTAGAGGATAGAAAATTTGTGCAATAGAAGGGATTGCATCTTTCAATTTCATTCTAAGAAGCTATGTAAAATTTTACTATAAAATAGTTGAAAATTGTGATTCTTTTGCAAAGAGATATTGGAAGGTTCTTCTATGACATTGGTAGCTACCAATATTGAATCAAATTCAATTTGTATTTTCTTTTGTTAGTTCAAGAAACTTGCTTTCACTGCAAGATAATAAGATTCATGATTAGAACTCCATGCATGCAGTAGCACCATGCATACGTTTGTAGTAAGGATGTATGGTGACATTAGAACTCCATGCGTGAGTAAACGAAGAGAAGCGTGCACAAGGATTATTCCTATATAAATATAACTAGGACTGTTCAAAAAATTCATAAAATCAAATTGAACCACATTATCGAACTGAATCATTGTTAAATAATCAAATCATTCTTTTTGATTTACGAACCGAACTACAGAATATCAAACAATTTAATAATCGAACCGAATCACGCTTAACACCAGAACCGCAATTAACAAACCATATATATATGTTTTACTTGTTGAAACTTTGGTTCAGTAGTATTATTTCCAAATTGATTTTCTTAATATTGATATAATTATAAAAAAAATCAAAAAAATAGAAAAGAAAATAAATCGTGATTTCAACATTATGTGCTATTTTCATTAAAAATTAAAGGGTCCAACTTTATTACCCAACACTAAAAATTAGGTAACTCTACCCACCTAAAGTGTTTTAACGATGTTGATGTAAAAATGTGAACCGGTCATATCATTAAGAAAATATTTTTTTTCATTCTAACTATACTACTTTTAATAATTATAAATTAATCTTAATCATTAAAAATGTGATAGTTCCTATGCAAGCATAACTAAACCTATCATTAAACATACTAAAAAAAATTGGCATAGGTTACATTTAAAAACAAAAGCAGTATATAACATTCTATTTTTTTATTCTGTTTATTTTAATTTTTTTCCTTCAAAATACTAATTAACCTTTTTTTTTTAAAATGCTTCTAATAAAATAGTAAAAAATTAATAAGTTGGACATATATAATTTAAATATGTTTTTGTTTGTTATTTTTCTTGAATATGTTTTTAAATAATTATAGTATATCAATTTTGTATTATTTTTATAAAAAATTTAAAAATTAAAATTAAAAAAAAAAAATACTTTTAAAATATTTTTTAGAATTTTAATTTTACACTAAATACACTAATAAGAAAAATGTACTCTGACAAAAGGATGAGTATATTACATTGAGATTGTAATTTCTTGTGCCGAAACAGGTTGCTCGATAGAAGAAAGGTTGTGTCGAAATTAATTGTGTGTGTGTCAAGTTGTAATAATTATCGAAGTGTCAAAGCAGTCAGCTTCACACAAGATTTTGACTTAGATAATATGATTTTTGAGCATTAAAGTTTTGGGTTTAGGCTTAAGGAGCAAGCGAACTCATTATAAATAAAGGGAGTAGTCCCTATTTTTTGTAATCACTCATAACTTATATTCATAAAATTTGCAGTTGCAAGTGAATAAGATTTTTTCACAGTTTGTGGGCAGGGAGAAACTCTGTGGAAAATCATATCTTTTTCCCTAATTTTCGTCAAACCCTAATTCTTTCTTTCATTGTTATTGTGTATTGATAATAATCTTGTTCATCAAGATTGATAGAAATTCTCCATAAATTTTGGTATATTTCCAACATCTGATATCTAGAGCTCCGGTTGAGCGATTCAAGGCAAAAAAATCATGATGGAAATGAGTCATTCGAATGGGCACTTTCCAACAAGTTTTTTAATTTTGAAAGTTGATAACTATGAGAATTGGTGCAATCAGATGAAGATTGTGTTCTGTTATCAAGATCTTTGGGATCTTGTGAAAGAAGGGTTAAAATTGCTTAAAGAAAACGCAACAGAACAAAAAGAGGCCGCACACAAAGAATTAAAGAAGAAGAATTATAAAGCTCTCTTTATAATTCATCAATGTCTGAGTCCAGACAATTTTGAAAAAGTGAGTGATGTAGAATCTGCGAAAGAAGCTTGGGAAATTCTTGAAAATTCTTTTGGAGGTGTAGAAAAGGTGAAAGAGGTGAGATTACAAACTCACAAAAACTTATATATTGCTTCAAATGGAAGAAAGTGAAAACATAACTGATTCCTTCACTAGAGTTATGAAACTGGTGAATCAAATCAAAGTATGTTGAGAAGCATTGACGTCAAGATTAATTATCGCAAAAATCTTGAGGTATTTTGCTCCGAAGTTCGACCACGTGGTGGTAGCCATAAAAGAGTCAAAAAATGTGTCGAAAATCACAATGGAAGAGCTTCAAGGAAAGCTTGAATCTCATGAACAAAGAATAGCTGAAAGAGCTGTAGACAAGTTGAAGAGAGATATGACTTTGTAGACGCAGTCAGCAAGAGAAAAGAAAGACAAAGGAAAATGATTCGGCAACAAAGGTAGAGGAGGCTAAAAAATCATTAAGAATGGACCAAAAAAGACCAAAATAAATAAAATAATAATAATTTGTTAATAATTATAATTAAGAATAGACCCAAAAATTGTATTTAAGAAGATTATTTTAAATTATAATTATATATAAATATCTAATACTTACAAAAATATTTTTGAAAAAAAATTATAATTTAATAAATTTTTTATGAAATGAATGATATTATAAATGATAAATGTAAGAGTCAAATGTAAAAATTAAAATAAAAAATCTATAAAAATCTATAAAATAATGTATATCATCTAACATATAAGAACATAAACTACTATGGAAATTATGTTATTGCCCTTTTGTCTTTTTGCTCCACCTCATCATTTTTTGGATAAGTTGGATCTTTTTCCTTCAAATCATAACTATTCAACTACAACGTTTGATCAAAACTACATTATTTGCAAAAGCTATTGAACTGAAACTATTATTTCAAATGAAGAAGTTCGATTTCCCAACTCTTTCTCGAACGAATACAAATTGGAGACACCTTTTCCAACATTTTGCAAGTCCCATCCTGGTCTTGTTGCTACTACATGAAGGTTGAAAAAAACAAGAAAGGGGGTTTGAATTGGATTTTCAAAAACTATTTCTTTTAGAAATGCTTCTCACAAATGAACAATGATAGTTAAGCAAGAAATAAAGTTGACAAGATTAGTTTATACAAGTTCACCTTAGAAAATGCTACTCTTGTCCACCTGCCAAGGTGATTTCACCTTAGAAAAGGACTTAATCAAACAATCTAGAAAGACTACAACAACATCTAATTGTTTAGAAAAACACCTTAGCCCTCTCAAGTAATTCTGACTACAACTTAGTCACTTGAGGAAACTAGAAATATTTACAATTAAACAGTGTTTACAAGAGTGCTTTTAAAAAGCAAATATAACACCACAATGAAGAAGAAATGTTTACACGCAAATATGAGCAACAACTCTTGTGTATACAAAAATGATAAAATAACACAATAATGAGTAACAAGTCTTGTGTTATAGATAATGAATAGTTAACACAAAACTAAGCAACAACTCTTTGTGTTTTTGAATATCTCTTGAGTATTTTCTCTCTTTATTTTCTTTCACACTAACTTCACTTTTGAAACTGCGGTTGTTTTTATGTGAATATTTTTTCATTGAATTTTTTTCACTGAATTGTTAGTTTCAAATGAAGTAGTTATCTCTTTATATAGTCTGAGAAAAGAAGATTGTTGGAAAACGTCACTTTCACCAAGTCGCTTACTACAATGGTAGCGTATGATCGTGGGAGACAAAGAGCACACCAAAACTTTATCCGTAAATTATATTCTCCACAAATAACGGAAAAGGTGTTGTACTATTGTACTATATTCCTTCTTGTGTAAGTTTATGATCTTTTCTTCTGATGATATGCTTCTAATCTGAAGTAGTAAGAGAGTGCATAAGAGATCACATATTTGTTCTTTAATCTTCTGATGGAATGTTTCTGATAAGAAGTGATGAGTATTCCAGAAGATGATTCATTATGATGTTCAGAGTCTTTCAGAATTAGGACCCAGTCTTTTGACATGTAGCAACAACTTATATGACAAACAGTTTCATGATATCTGAGTTGGAAGAAAAAACTTATATGAGAAGCACTTTATCTTGATATCTGATCTTTGAAGCAAAAGCTTGATATCTAATTGTTTGAAGAAAAAGCTTGATATCTGATCATTGAAGCAAAAGCTTCATATCTGATTGTTCAAGCAAAAGCTTGATATCTGATCGTCAAAGAAAAAGCTTGATATCTGATCCTTGAAGCAAAAATTTAATATCTGATCATCGAAGCAAAAGGTTGATATCTGATCTTTGAAGCAAAAGCTTGATATCTGATCTTCACACATGGATATCCTTTATCTGGACACACTCGTGACTTCTAAAGCAAAAACTTATCTGAGAAGTATGTGTGGATCTATTTTTGGAGAACATTCAACATTTATTAGAACTACCGATGTTTCTTCAGAACGCATGCAATACTATTTATGATGCATGCTAAGAATAATTTTGATGATTCTTCAAACAGAAATCCTGAATCAATTAGAATATTTTATCTACACACTCAATAAACTATTAGAACACAAAATTGTTATATATAAAATATATGCATTGTTATCATCAAAACTCATAGATTATCTACAGAACCAAATCTTGTTCTAACACTACACAATACACACAACCATCATTCCTCTCTCTC